AAAAAGATGACATGACTGCTTTTCACACTTACAACTGTTGCAGCATCCCCATTGTCACATGACAAAAATTCAGATGCTTGGCAACTGGCATGTATTCATGATGCATTCCAGGATTTTGTTATCTTCTGACAAGCAAAATCAATGGGGAAGCCATTTTCATATAACAACCATGCTACTAACAACAACTGCCATGGTTCAATCAGTGAATAAATCAGAGTAGAGCTGGAAGGGACCTTGGAGGTCTTCTAGTCTAGCCCCCAGCTAAAGAAATTTTGAGCTCAGTTATGGTCATAAGTCAAAGATTCTCTGTAATTTCCTCTTTTTTCCCTTTTGGTACCAATTTAATAGAAAACATTAACGTTTTCATCAGCTCAGGCCATATTTAATAACATTTATATCAAATAATCAGTTAGTCTTGTTATTTATCTTTAGGACATTCTCATTGTTTTTCAACCTCTGCAATTTTAGGGGGTATAAACTCCAACTTCTAGAATTTTCGGGCCAGCATGATACAGAGGTGTTATTTTATTTACCAGAAGATAGGGAGCCAGTTTGCTGTATTGGTTAGGGTATCATCTAGAAACCAGGAGATTGTGACTTCTAGTCCTGTCTTGGGAACAAAGTCAGCTTGGTGATCTTGGCCAACCATTCTTTCTCTCTATCCTAGGAAGCAGGCAATGGCAAACCACTTCCAAAATCTTGCTGAGAAAACTTCAGGGACTTGACTAGGCAATTGTTAGGAGTCATCACTGGACATCATACTAAATAGGGTCCACCAAAAAGGGCAAGGAGAAAATATTCAGAGCCCTGGGTCTGACATTCAATTACTGAGATGATTATTCCCTTATTCAGGCACCTCTAGGGTTAAATCTACATAAATCACAGATTACTAAATACTTGTAACTGTAGCTTTAATTCTATTTTGCTATATGAAACTAGCATGTAGTGATTTTTTTTTCCTCAGTGTTGGAATGCCTACAAAAATGCTGGAAAACTGTTTTATAGGAAGGGGAGACTAATACAAAAGCTGAAGTGGATGCTCATGTAAGTTTAAAACACTATTGTCTTGCTAACATTTCTTCTACTCAATTTTTGTAATAATTCTTAATAAACTTCTTTGGGGGAGATTAATAATTCAATCTCCTTAATCTAAGACCACAAGTATTCCAATATTTTTTAAAGAAATGTTTATTTAAAAAAACAATGATACAAGTTCCATTCTTTGGTATGTAAATACAGTTTGCTATGTAACAATTTAACAAACTTCTTCCCTTCAAGACGTTTTGATCTATTACACTTATTTTTCCTGAAGCTTTCAAATGTTTGTAGGATTTAAACTTCTGTATACATCCTAGAAATGTTTTTTGTTATATATAGTAGACCATAATAGATGTCACTTTTTACTAGATGGAATACTGTATGCAGCATATCAAAAGGAAATGATGAAACAAAGAGAAAATTCCAACCGTACAGTTACAAAACCAAAAATTATCACATTCAGGTTTAACATATCTTGTAAGGAGCTTCTATACTTAAAGAAGTATAAAATTAATTCCTAGGGGAAAAAAAAAAGCTCTTATTTTACTGATTTAATTTTTAAAAATAATGCAACAGTTAAATTTTCACATATTTACTTGAAAATAAATTGTATAAACTTATTAGTGCACTTCCCTATTATGTAGTTATGGGACTGCAGTCCCATACAATTGGGTATTATGAGATCACAGAATCCTCATTTTTTTTCCTGTTTCTTTTACCTGTCACTCAAATTTCCAAGAATATGATAATGCCATTGAAAGTGACACCATTTTAGTTATCCCAATAAATAAATCCCAATAGACACATAGCCCCAAATTTAATATGTGAGGTAAAAGCTCCTGAAACATAGCTCATATTCTTTTCTTGTCGTATCCTACAATGCTAAAGATTAGTACTGAGAACTGGATGAATTTTCTTTTTCAACCTAACGGAGTCCGATAAAAGAAAAGAAGTAATTTGATTAATGGAATATATAATGGCCCAAGTTTAGTAATTCCTTGATGTATTCATATTTGAAACCTTACCATCCAAGTTTTTAAAACCGAATGAAACACTGTATTTATTTTTTCCTTAACAGAATATAAAATGTACACAATAAACTTCATATTTCTATAGACAGTCATTTCAAATCTAAATTCAAAAGCAATACATTCATCCTTTTTATGGGAAAATTGTTTAAACAGTGTATACCAAGGGTGAGATCCTACCAGTTCACACCTATTCACTAGAACCGGTTGTTAACATTCTAAGCAGTTCGGAGAACCAGTTGTTAGAATAAATTACTGACCTAATCCTGTAAGGAAGGCAGGAAGGAAACATTCTGGTGTTGCTTACAGAAACTGCCTCTCCGTTAACCCTTATTACATTGTTGGGAGGACTAGACTCCCTGTCTCCGGAACTTCTCTGGAGTTTTTTCCCCCTCCTTTGCTGGTACTTTGCTTCTGTGGAGTGACCATTCAAAGTTACAATGGCACTGAAAAAAGTGACTTATGACCATTTTCACACTTACGACTGTTGCAGCATCCCCACAGTCATGAGAGGCCAGGCGAGGAGATGTGTGCCTCGATGTGAGTGATGTTGAGTTGGCCACACCCAGACTATAACATGACCACCAAGCCACACCTAGCAACTAAGCCACACCCATAGAACTGGTTGTTAAAAAATTTAAATCCTGCTCCTGATGTTATACTATCAATGTTGGCACATGGTTGCAAAATGCAAAAGCAGTACAGACGACAAATGTTATACAAAGAAATATGGAATAGACAAATGCTCAATACAGCAAGACATAAAACACAGAATCTTAGGGCTGGAAGGGGTCTTCTAGTCCAGGGATTGCCAACCTTTTGGATCTCAGGGACCACCAAACTCATACTTTTAAATCCCGAGGACCACTAATACGATTTTTTTTTAAAAAAAACCTAATATATTTAATTTTTTATGTTAATATACATATATATGTATATATATATATATATATACATATACACACACATACATACATGATACACACACACACAGATACATATACACACACACACGCGCGCACACACACACACTTATTTAATTATAACAAAAATGTAAATGCTTAATGGTAACAAAATAAAACGTTGCGGGCTGGAAGCCTCGCCCCACCTGGCACTTTCCAAAGAGACAGAAGAGCGGGCGGTGTGTGTGGGTGTGTGTGTGTGTCTGAGCTGAGGGGCCTTGTGGCAACTGCCGAGGAAAAGCTGGGGGGGGCTCTTCCAGGGTCACCTGGAGACAGGCAAGGAAAGGTGTCCCTGGGGGTAGTTTGCTCGCGTTAGCACTTTGCTGCCAAACCCAGCCACAGCCAGTGGTTATTTGGGGGCGGGGGGGGGGGGGGGGGGAAGCCTCTCTCACATTACCAGGGGAGGAAAGGAGACGAAACAAAGCTCACTCTTTCACTGAGACCTACAAAACACCAATCTACTGTGTTCCAGTTGTTCTTTGAAATCATCAAATGCTTCCACTTGCAGTTCTCGCACCTCTCAGCTCAGGTCCCTGAGATGCATGCTCCTACACACGGTGGCAGCGGCAACAACAGTCCCCTCCCCCAGCGCATGAAAGCCTCGGAAACGCAGGCAAAGCTGCCACAGTGGTAGCGCCCTGAGTTGCTTGCTTCTACACTACTGCCTCCTCCTGCTCCAGCACCACTTCCTTCTCTGGGTAGGGCGATTCTTAACTAACCGAGCATGCTAAGGCAACTTAGGACGCTACCGCTGCGGCGGCTTTGCCTGCGTTTCTGAGGCTTTGATGTTGGGAGAGGCAGCAAGGGCTGGAAAAGGGGAGAGCTGTGCACGGCTCCATCTGCCTTTACTTTCCTGCCTGTATGTGGGCGGGGGGCGGGGGAGGAAAGAGAGAGAGAGCCAGGAGCAATTCAAAGCTAGAGAACTAATGGGGAAGAGCTGACAGTGGGCGCTGTGGGAGGGGACTGCTGTTGCCGCCGGCGCCGGGTGTAGGAGCTGGTTGGCGCATGCATCTCAGGAGCCTGACTCCGGGGTCCCTCGGAGAGCCAGGAGGTGCAAGAACTGTGTGGCCCAGATTAATTGCTTTGGGGGGGCCATTTCTTCTGTGGCCCACCAAAAATTTTCCGCGGCCCACTGGTGGGCCACGGCCCACGGGTTGGCAACCGCTGTTCTAGTCCAATTCCCTGTTCAAAGCAGGAGACTCTATACCAGTGGTGGTGAGCCTCTGGCACACATGCCAGAGGTGGCACACAGAGCCCTCTCTGTGGGCATGTGTGCCGTCACCCCAGCTCAGCTGCACTGTGTTTCCCCGTGGCATTTCTCTCCGTCATTTGCAGGAAACAGAGGTTTCCCTGCAAATGATGAAACAGAAGCTCACGAAAGAAAAAGATCTCATTTCTTGCAGAGCTACCAGTGTTGGGATGCCCCGCCTCCTTCTGGACAGCTGGTCCTTGGGTCTCGAATGCACCTTGCAGTTTGGCCATTCCCATGTACATTTTGGGTACTTGGTGCCTAAAAGGTTCACCATCACTGCTCTATACCATCCAAGTCAAATGGTTGTCCAGTCTATTTTTGAAAACCTCCAATGATGGAGCTCCCACAACTCCATGAGGCAAGCAATTCCATTGAATAATTGTTTTTATTGTCAGAAAATTTCTCTTTATTTCTGGGTTGGATCTGTCTTTAACAAATTTCCACCCATTACTTCTTGCCCTGCCTTGGATAATAAGGCAGTGCTTGGTGCTTTGGAGAATAAATCAATCTCCTGTCTTCTGTGACAGTCCCTCGGGTACTGGAAAACAACTATCATGTCCCCCTAATCCTTCTCTTCAATAGACTATAAATAAAAATGACTCTTTAGATAAATCCATGAAATATATTCAATTATGAGGACTGCAGTTGGCACACTGGAGAAAAAGAATGGCGGTGGAAACTTTACAAAATGAAATTGCATTTACATAATCAAAAGAAATGGACTGATCAACCGATAATGATATATGACATAATGAAGCTGAAAAGTTTAAGGAAATGACAATTGGCTAGCTATTTTGTATAAAAACAAACAAACAGATCAATTGTGAACAACAATTCTCAACTGCATATGAATTAATCATAAAATATCCAGGAAACTCCAAAGGCATACTGGGCAGATAATGAAGTTCAGTTCAAAGGTTGTAACTTTGCCAAAATATTTATGTTTTCTTCTGGTATAATTTAAAGATTATAATATATATTGGGTTTCCCCAAAGAAAGTAGATTCAGGTTTAGTAATGTGTAGAGTTAGGCACAATGAAGTCAGTTAACATTGATTTCCGGGTGTCCATTCTAAGCATACAATTTAAACTTAACTCAGAGCCATTGCTGAATGCTGCTATGTATTTGTGGCATGGTAATGTTCCTTTACATTTTACTTGTTGCTACATATTACAATGGGTATAATAGTTCCCATAGTTGAAGACAAGAATTTTTCTTGGTATTGAATAGAGTTTCCCAATCTTGCTTGTACAGTTGTTCTTTTCTTGTTTCATGAAATACAATGAATAATCTCTTCATCTTTGAGCATTAGTGTTAAAAAACACTTTCATGCCTTTGCAAACATTTTGTAAGCACATCCAACCCATCCTTATGTCCACTTGATAGAGTTCTTGCTGATGTCTTGCTAGACAATACACTTTCCCTTCTAGTATCTGAACTGTCACTCAGTAGCACCTTCCGTCCTACTACCTGCATGGACTTCTGATAAAACTCTTTGGATGCAAAGTAGTAAATGAATGGATCTATGCAGTTGTTGAGACAACTAAGGCACAAGGTGAGTTTGTAAATGTGATAGTAACCTTCACTTTTTTTGAGACGACTGACGATGTGCACCAATAAGATAAAGTTGTTGGGTGCAAAACAAATGATGAAAACCAAAAGCACTATTATAGCCAAGTAGACTGACCGTGTCTTCTGCCCATTGCCATATTTGTTAGAAACTTGAATAAGCTTCCAAATAATGGCAGTGTAGCAAACAACTGTAACTGTAAATGGAAGCAAGAAAAAGAAAAAAAAGGGCAGCAGGAGGAAAGCTCCCCATGCATAAATTCCTGGAAGCATATCCCATTGAAGAACATCAAAACAGGTTGTAATGTTCAGATCTTTTACTTCATAAGTAAGGTCAGCTTTGGCAAAGGGGCACAAGGACAATAATACAAAAAACCACATTACAATGCAGGTAGCAATTGCATATCTCTTTTTTCTCCATTTCTGGGAGGTCAGTGGGTATACCACCCCCAAATAGCGCTCAAAGCTGATGAAAGTCATAGTCAGTATGGAGGAGTACATGTTTGCATAAAACATTATTGTGACATAGCTGCACAGCTGTTTGCTGTAAAGCCAGTGGTTTTTCTTCATGTGGTATATAATTTGAAGGGGAAGACAGGAGGCCAGTGCAAGATCCGTGAGGCTAAGATTAATCATGAGAAGAATTGATGTTGTTTTGGGTTTGATATGAAAGAAGAGAATCCAGAGGGAGAAAATATTTCCAGGGATACTGATAATAACAATTAGTGAATACACAATTGGTAAGGTGATCATAATGTAAGGATTCTTAAGCATGTCAATTGTTGCATCATCCAGCGATGTGTTTTTAACCATTTTCTGTCTTTAATTTCTTTCTTCTTGAAAATTTGAAAGGTGTATCTCACAGCTTTAATTTGTACCCTATAAAGTAGAAAATCAGAGAAAAGAGGTCAGTGAAAATGCGAAAGAAAACGTAGGTATAGTCTCTTCTGTGGTACCACTTTCTCTAAAGACCATCACATATCCCTTTTTAAAGATATTTACTAAAGTAACTAGTCCGTTTACTGCTTTTGCTACTAAATTTATTCTGTATATCTGTTAAGTACCTCAAAATTAAATTTGTCAAGCATAGTAGAACTGCAACAGATCAATAGCATTCAACAAAATATAATAAAACATTAATATAGATTATAAAGGTGCAAACTATGGAAAGAAGGGAGAGAGGGAAGGAGGAAATTTAAATGAAACTTTTTAAAATTAAAATACTATATAAATGAGGTAACTCTGGCCCCAGAAGTAAGATAAGGATAATCATGGCAAACCCATGAAGTTCCTTTTTAAAAAGCCTTTCATTCTTCTGGTATCTCTTTCGGGTTCAGATTAAATGGATATTTTAAGAAGACTTCCTGAAGATAGCTTCAGATTATGTGCATTTAGTGGGTGGCATTCCATTAGGTATCATTGTCCATGGACATCAGTGTGGCCCTAAATACTTTTTTGGTGCTCTCAGATACCAGCCTCCTATTTTATTGGACTAAAATAAAATAAAAAATAGGAAATATATATGTCACAAGACAATAGTTTTTTTGCATTATATTTATTTACAAGAATGCCTTTTGCTCCACAAAAGTTCTAATAGGATGGTTGAGACTAGCTTGAATTCTGGCACATGGTTGTTTTGTATCTGAACAAGTTCACCGTAGTAGTTGTCTTGTGAACCTGCACCCTAGACATACATTCACAATTCTAGATGTACCATTGGCACCTTCTCCTGATCTACTGCAAATCCAGCACCTTGAATTATGCTGGAGGATGATAGAAACCAGTGAAAATGAAAAAGTCAACAACAACAACAATAATAATAACAATCATAATCATAATGTGGTCAAAAATTTTGCTGATACAAATATGGGGGTTAGTCCCATTTATCCAGCAATCATCAGATGAACTGCAAGAAGTTGTACATGTATACAGTACAATGTTTTAGTATTGCAATGGAAAATATTCCTAAAATATCATATGTATCACAAGATAAAGAGAATACTTTTACTAAGCATGCATAGAACTTCCTTTTTTATAAATCATAACATGTGCATACTATCTGATAAAAATTTCAAAAGAAAATTTATATATATCTGCTAATGTCTAAGAAGTGTGACAACTTCCCTTTTTATCACAAGATTGAAAGCAAAACACAAATGGTTGACTGCCATAGAAAGACAAGTCATGGCATGTCAAAGAAGAACTTACCATGCATTTTACAACTATCAACATACTGTATGTACATCAGGCATGCATAGATCATACAGAATATACATTAGATTATAATATTCTATTTCAGGATTATGCAGAACTCAGAAAAAAAAAGAATATGCAGTTGTAAGCCAGAGAAGTTATAAAGTAGGTTGCCAGTTGTAGTAGTACTTATGCCACATGGAGTATTATTCACTATCTGTAATTGATTCATTCTGACAGATTTTGGGCCACATGTTTCAAGGCCAACCAAAGTTCTAATAGTTCTATCTTTGCTTCAACCCAATATTTGATTATTTTAGTTCAGGAGTATTTTGGTGAAAGATATAGAAGCAATGTTGTAGATACAGATCAGTTATTTTCAGTCAAAGAAGCATATTCATCCATTTATTTAGAATTTGATACATTAAAATATGCCTATACAGCAGGCATCGGAGAAAGTTCAGAACAGAATAAACCAGATGTTGCCCTTCTGTGAAGTTTAGAAGTCCAGAAACTTCTGTAACTGGAGAAGTTTAAGAATCACCTCCTGGCACCATCACAACTGCAGAAGTGATTTAGAAAACAAGCTCAATTGTGAGAAATCCAACTGGGTATACACTTAGACAAGGTGTAGTTCTAAGTATGTACCATATAAAGAAAGCATCTGCTAAGTCAGGTCAGACAGGAATGAATAAAAGCAATTTCTTTTATTAGGAATAAAACGTGGAGAGATCCTTAGACTACCAATCAGAATACATTATTTATCTACTCCAACAGTAGATAAATACAGACTTTCTGTAAAAAGGAAAAAAAAAGGTGAAACGAGAAAAGTTGGGTAGATTACAACTTGGAAATAGTATTATTGGCCCCATCTGGTAATGTATGTATGAGAAAGGATGTTGTGTACTGTGGAGATAGCAGTTAAAGTTCTGTTTCAGTTTCTGGACAGCTGCTAGGGTCTGAAGGGGGCAAACCAGGCAGAAGCTGAACCCAAGGAGGGTGGAGCTGATGTTTGTTCATCAGGATCACCCATGTGCTTCAGGATTGTATTTCAAAGATAAAGCAAGTCTGTGCCTTGAGGATACTCAAATGTTTTAATACGTCAAGTCTACTCCCTTTCTATACATGCTCTTTAAATCAGCCAAATTATTATTCAATTCTCACATTCATATATTTTCAATAATATGCTTGAGAAGCAAAAATCTGCTTTGGATATCCTTTCCTAGCTAAAAACCAAACTACACTTCCCAAATGTTGCTGTCACCATGTCTACTCTTTTAATCAGAAGGTTAGATAACACCTTCCCAGCTACAATAATAAACTAATCCCTCTGTCATTTTTGCATTCCTTTCTGTTACATTTCCTTTTGTATATGAGACATGGCATTCTTCTATTTATCAGGTACAGAGGTATGTAATATACACATGTATGAAACAAGTTGTAGGATCACTTTGTAAGCAAATAGGAGCCATGTTTTAATCTTTAGAATAAAATCCTAATTCTCGTTATACCATCTTTAACTGCAGTCTTATCATATTTCAAGATCTTACAAAGATTTTTGTTTTTTGTTTCATTTTTGTTTTTTCTGAGATGATAATATTTATAGATATAACAACTGCCAAGGTCAGCTACAAAAGTTGGGCTTATACAACAATAAATGATGAAAATCAGATCTTTTTAAAGCTATGCTTATGCATCAATCTATTTTTAAAATATTTTTCTTGACATTGCATGCACACTTACCTATCTGGATTTTATTTGTTTCTTTACATGCAGCCAATTTACTTTGTAGTAGTAAAGTCAGAGGATGGAGAGATAACCACATCACATTTTTCTCTATAAGCTGTCTTCTGAAAAAGGAAAGTCCTGTATTTTAGAAAAAGGGGTATTTTTTATTTATTTTTGGAAGTATGTGCACATGTAAAAAAAAAAAAACTTGTGGTAGGGCACAACATTACCACACTGCAAATCTTGAAACAACAATTATGTAATTGCTGAGTTGATTATAGCACAGAAACTGAGGGACATTAGAATAACCCCCAATAAGGTTAAGATAGCATGGCCATTTGTTAGGGATCGTGAGAGTTGTCATTAAAACAGTGGTTCTCAACCTTTTCTTTACCACGGACCCCCTTTAAATACCTTTTGTGGCTATGGACCATGGCCATGATTTAACTCGAGATTTAAATCATAACATTTCTTCAAGCCTTCACAGACCCCCTTGTGATGACATTGTGGACTCTAAGGGTCCACAGACCACAGGTTGAGAACCACTGATATACTACCCATCTCATTCTAAAAAGTGAGTCAATAGAAGTAGAAATTTGTTAAAGGATTTTTACTACTTTTTTTTTTCTCATCTACCCAAATCATGCCTCTACTCAAAATCTTCTTGACACATTTTTTTCTTTTTTTAAAAATATCCCACCAGAGTGTTAGTAAAATGTTTATTTATGTGTGATGTGGTGCTAGCTTCAAAGTAGATAAAAGATTTCATTCTAGGACAGCTCTTGTGATTAACCAACCAGAATAAATATTGCAAAACAAAAAGTGTTCATTGAAATGGATGAATTTGCAACTGTCTCTCTGGCAATATTGTTATCAGCAAATCTCAATAATAACCTTTTTATCTCTTCTGCCAGCCCAGTGAAGAATAGTCTGCCTCCCCTCCCCCTTCACACTTTAAGCCATTAAAAAAAAAAGATCTAGTGGTTTCCAGCTTGGCTAATCTGCACGTTGCATCACTGCACGCAAACAGTTTACCATGTGAAAGTAACTGCTGGGTGGCATGATTTTATTGTAACTTTCATGTGGCAGCTGTGTGCATTCAAAGACTTGTGCTGTAAACAGTTAACAGAAATGAGGAAGTGGTGAAAATGATTTGCGTGAAAGGGTTGTGGGACTCGGAGGGTACATTGCTGAAACTTTAAGGTAACCTCCGAATCTTTTAACCAATTCCAGGTAATATATCAGACTGCACAATTGCTTCAGGAATAAGGGCTCTCTAATTGTGCATTGCATTCCCAAATTTTGGTCAAAGAGTAAGTTGACAACAAGCCGACAGTAATAGTCACTTATTTGCACTTAAATTTGATTTTATTATTCCATTAAGTCAGTGTAATTAACACAATTGCCTTCACTATAATTAATAATTTTCTGTTGTCATATTAAAAATGACATTTGAACAAAACCTTTAGAGATTTTAAGAATGATAGGACCCTGAAGCAGCAGTTTATCCTGTAATATCAGTAGATGGATATGCAAAAAAGTGAACTTTAAAAAATAATACCTGATGGAAAACTTTTCTATCCAAGGGTCTTTCAGGAATATTGGATTAGAATTCCTGTTATTTATAGCCAAGAGTGGCTAATGACTCCTACCTGAGGATTACCTAACCAAATGTCATTTAAAAATGTATAACTTCTGAAGAAATATTTCAGTGGTCTCTTATTTTAATGACCCAAAGTTGCTTTTTCAAAAGGCAACTGGACTTTATTTTTCCTTGAAGACATTTTGCTTCTCATTTAAAAAAGCTTCTTCAGTTCTGACTGAATGGTGGGGGATGGAAGGATTTCATTCCTTGCAGTCCATGCTCACCATTTAATCAGAACTGAAGAAGCTTCTTGGATGATAAATGAAAAGTCTTCAAGGAAAAACAAAGTCCAGTTAACTTTTGAAAAAGCACCTTTGACCATGATGACTGAGAATCTCCATACATTATTTTAACTAAACAGCATATCAGAGCAACAGTGTAATGACTTCTTCAAAGAGAAAATCTTTATCATCACTGTTGTTGCCATCATCATTATCATCTGCATTGCTGTAGTGTCTGAATAGTAATGGAATGGGAATCCCCTGTCTGAAATCATTGTGTACAATAAATTGAAATGAAAATTATAATGCCCAGACTGGAATAATAATAGAATGATAATGGTATATTGTCAACTATAGAGTCCCGTTGAGGAAGCAGAGTGTCTAGACTCATTTTTATCAGATTCATGGCACAGAAACAGCATTGATCTCTTTGGTAGATCACTTCTGTTAGGACATAGGCAGGAGGAATTCACCCCTTGGTACTTTTAGATCTCTGAGTGATTTTTAATTTCGTTGCTCATGGTAATTCCTCAAATAACTAAATGAATTGGAGCTTGGTGACGCTGTACTTCAATTGTTTCGCTTCAACTTGATTGACTGGTACCAATTGTTGGTGGGTAAGGAGAAATCAGCCTTGTGGCTCCTGACTTCTGGAGTTCTACCAACTTCTGCCAAGTTCTATTCTATCACGTCTCTTGTTTTACATCTAAACGAAGCCACTAGCAGAGATTGTCCATCAATTCAGTGATGTGCCATCAGTACCAATTACATATCTCTACTCTGGACCAAGCTGGAGATGCAGTGAAGTCAGATTATTTGGATTTTTAATGGGATAAAACAGTCTCAAACTGAACCTTAGCAAGATGGAGTTGCTTTCTGTGCAGAAGGAATTTTTCTTTTTCATGTTTGGTGATGATTCTTGAAAAGTGGTATTCCCCTAAAAGAGCAGGTATATAACTTGGGATCTTTCTAGATTCATGGCTACTGCTTAGTAGGCAGATGGAGACCACAGCTAGTTGACTTTCTTTCAGTTTTGGCTGATATACCTATAGTAAGGAGCCCTTGGAATAGTAACTTATTTTCTCATAATCATCACTTCATATATTGCCTCCTCCTCTCTCTCTCTCTCTCTCTCCTCCCCCTCTCCCTCCCTCTCCCTCCCTCCATCCCCTCCCCACACATAAAGAAATATCCTCCTTCCCTCGTGAAAGGGGAGAAAGGAAGGAACAAAACCCTCATACTCAGAGCTGAAGACAAAGTGGATTTCATATCAGTTTCTGATATAATTTATAGTTTATGGATTTTATAGATATTTATGTTTATAGTTATAGTTTTATGATTTTATTGGTTTTTAAGTTTTTGCTCAGATTTTATTTTGTAAACTGTTTGTCATTCAAACTGTTCTGAGAGGGCATAATGTACTTGTCCACTGAATATGTAACACTGTAACACTGATATGCAACCATTTCTGGTGCACTGCTGATTTCATCAGAGGTGCTGGTAAGTTATAGATCCCTAGTGACTTAGTGTCTCAAAAGAAGAAGCTAGTATTATAGGCAAGTTCTGCATTCTAAAAATTATTATATAAAAATATACATGCTCTCCTTACGTTCATTTCAGTTAAGTCAACCAAATATATAAATATCACCCCATATGTACATTTCTAAATATGATACAGTGTGAGTGCTTGTCTTTAATTTATAAGGCTTTAATCTATTTATTATAATGATCACTAAAACAATACCTCCCCCCCTCTTTTCTCCTCAGATTCTAGCTATAAAGTATGTTAAGCCGTTAAATGAATAGGACACAATCACTCCATGAGCTTCCCAGTCCAATATCTAACCAATATACTGAACATGATACAGAATCAATGATAATAATCACATTAAAGGCAAATAAACTGGGTAGCTAAGCACAAATAAGTACAACTAAGAGCCAATAGGTATTTGAAGATAGGAGTAAAAAGCAAACACATTTTAAATACCCAAACATTTTGATGTAACAGCAATTATACAATATTTTACATTTCAGAAAACAATCTGGGCAAGACTGTAAAAGCCGCTTTCAATCAACTCCCTTCTACATGAAACAAAGTTTATTTACGCATGTAAAAAAGAAATGCTATTATAATATATAATTCTGCAGTTTCTGTTTCCAAAGCAGCTAGAGCAAAAAAAGATCCCCCCCAATAAAGTTATTGCAACATTTATGTAGTTTATGAATTTCTCCCTAACTTTTGTCTTCCCTAGAAGAGCAACATAAACATTGCTTTGTTTTATCAAATGCCTGTCTCAGATGCAGAAATGTAACTAATGTATTTCTTTTGGCTTTAACTAAAATGCAACATGATTTATAATAGTCAGCTTATACATTATGTTAGAACATCAGCTGCTTAGGTAGTTCTAATAATAGTTTTGATTATATAGTAACTGCTTTTCTCCAACTCATTGCTGATTGCAAATTTGTGTATCATCCATTTTAAGAATATTTTATAGTTGTTTAATTTATCGATGATGGCCTTTTATCAGTAGGTACAATATAATTAACTATAGCACAATTTTTATTGAATAATAATCCTGAATTATCACACATTGTTCTTAAATGTATATATATTTAAACAAAACAAGACAAATGTATAATAATTACCTGTTGCAGTGTGTGCCACATTCAAAAAACGTATAATAGGAAGTAAGTTGATTTTGTTTCAGAATAGCTCAGGAAATGACCATCCACTCTCCCGCTCCCATACGAACACACACCCTTAACTCTTTCATCATTGATATTATGTAAATAAATCAAGAAGACACAAAATGAAATTATTATCTGAATTTGCGTCATGCACATAGATCCCTCTGATAATCAATATATTTGAGTCGATATAGGGGAATAACATGGATTTTTAAAGGATTTAATACTCTACTTTGTATTTTCCATCTCAAGAACCTATATGGATTAGTTTAGGGAGAGGAGGAGGAGGAGGAGGAGCTTGGGGAAAATCTCCTGTCTCGTTTTGCGCAGCAAAACAAACTGATTTAATTACCAGCTTCTTTATGCTATCTGAACTTACATAAAGTTCAAACACAAAGAAATACATTAATACCATTTCTTTCAACCAAGGTAGAGAAGCACTGACTTTTTCATGCAGATTTCTTATCTTTTTAACATTCTATCTTTCTGCTGTATTAGAAATGACCAACCTGTAGTCCATAAGGTACAGTGTTCTATAACCCTTCCAACTTGGCCATGATAGTTAGGTTGATGGGAGCTGGTGTTCAGGAAATTTGGAAGGCTGAAAAAGTATAAGGTGATAAAATATAACATTTTTAAAAAGCATTTAGAAACATTGGGGAAAAGTAATTAAATAATTATGAGCAGCAGAGACCGAACCAATTCTCTCTTCTGCTCTGCTGTTGGGCCCACCTGCCCACCCGAACTCCCCTACTCACCTTTATCCTCTGAATTTGAAGCACAGCTGCTTTGCGCAACACAGAATAGTGCTGCGCAGCAGCTGCTGAAGCGACTGGGATTGTGCAGGCTTGCAGGAGGCGAGTTAGAACGCCTCTGCGCCTGTGCAAAGTATGCATTTGGCACGCATGTGCACGCAAAGTGCATGCACGTGCGCAAAGCACGCCCACCAAGCCATGCCCACCGAACTGGTGGCAAAAATATTTGAATCCCACCACTGCCCATAACAACAACCTTTGATGTGGATTATAATGAAAGAGAAGCATATTTGAAGCAAAACAAAAAGCCTGGACAATTGAAGTTGGACAATTAGAATACAAAGATGTTGAAGGGGTACTCAAGTAAAATATGGAGATTGCAGAGAAACTTTATTAATTTTTATCTGCATTTATTATAGAAGATACAAAGCAGTGATACCAGCCTGTAACCATTTTCTTAGCAACAACTAAAAAGAACATAGAGAATATAGAATAATAGAGTTGGAAGGGTTAATGGCTTTTGGCAGCACACCCAGGCTTTCAATTAGCATGAGTGGCTGCTCTTAGTTTCCCTCTCAGCTGCTACGTTTGCTTTGGGGTTGACTTTTTTTTAAAAGGGGAATGGCTGTTTTAAATTTTCTGCATTGTTTTAGTGGTTCCTGGCACTGTCCTTTTGGGCTGTACTTTCCTCACTCTTTTTGAAAGCCTCTAGTGATGGAGCACCCACAACTTCTGAAGGCAATCTATTCCATTGGTTGATTGATCTCACTCTTAGGAAATTTCTCCTTAGTCCTAGGTTGCT